TTAATTGGACATTTATATTTTATAATTTTTATAATTTTGATGCCTATTAATCACCTATCTATCTATTTATTTGATAAATAAAATATATCATTTTTTTCAATGCCTTTGAGTTGTTCCTATTATTTTCGAAAAAAAGTTTCAAGGCTTTGTATAATACATATAAAAAGTTGTTTTTGACACAAACTGATTCCATTAAATTTGAAGAAGCAGTACAAAACATTAAAAATCATTTAAAAAAGTACTGAATCAACCAAATCAATTCTGTATGTTTTATCGCATGAAAGAACGGTAAAATGTCGAAGATAACAAAAAATGAGAGGCTGTATTAAAACGGTTACACGTTTATCTGCACGGTGCGTTCATTTTGTTATTAAGGTGTACCGTTAAAACATTTTTAGTAATCTTTACTGTAAAAGGAACCATCAGACACATGTTCCCGATGTGGTATATAAATGGGTTCACTTTAATTGGTAGATATAGGCACCTATACATATAACACTTACGAAACAAGTTTTAAAATATTTCGAAAGTAATAACTTGTGTAGGTAATAAGGGTAATCACCATTTTAATGTACAGGGTGTCTAGTTGTCTCAAAATTGTTGTGTCGAGTACTTTATAAAATTTTCATTTTTGTTTCTAGATTAAATAACTCAACATTAAAATGACCAATTAACTAAGTTCCGTTATATGGGATGTATGAATTCAGTAACATTTTTCGTCATAAATTAATCGTACCTAAGCACAAAAAAGTTATTAGGATACTTTTAGGTAAACGGTAAACAAGCTTTACATTTGATTTGACTGACTTTCTACTCAGTACACTACTTTTTTAGAAAAAGAAACATACTTTTTGTTTTGTGTTAATTTCGTAATGTGGTAATCTATAAGAGATCGTACACATTATTCTAAGAATTGTAAAAGCTACTGTGGCAGCCTACTGGGGGAACCCCGGAGAAAAATGTTCCGTTCTCACCAGATGTTCCATCAACATCATAAGATCATCAGTCCCAAGACTATGATAGGACACACACCTCCACTTTTTCCTATCTTGAGATAATCCTTAACTATTTGTGAACAGTAATCTAATTTAGGTCTACCTCTATTCCTCTTAACTCCTGATAAGAAAAATTAGGGGAAGACAAGAAATTTTGTTTGAAATAGCACGGAGGTTTAACATCTATAAAATTTAGTTCAATATGAAAACGTAAAATGGCTAAAAAATAGATACATTCTCTATAATGAAACTCAACTTTCCGAACATTTTCATTCGTTATAGAAAGTTCTCATTGTTATCAACACCATGTATATTTAGGTATGTGGTACAGGAGATTAGCCACCTGGCATTAAATGAATTGGATTTGCCATCGAAATGTGAATACGTAGTTAATTGTGGGATTTTTCAGGTAGGCTTGTTCACACTATTGAATTTTCTGCTGGCTTATACGAGGGTGGATTGATAAGTTTCCGGCCTAACCAAGAGATGACGCCACTAGGCCTACCTTGAGGTGACATTCTATAGTACCATCCTTGGATAGCTTGTAGCTATAGTTTCAGCCCGATCTCCTTGCTAGTGTAGGTTTGACAGCACGCTGAACAAGACGCCTCTGTGGTTTTCGTAAAAATGGAAAAGCAGGAAAATCGTGCTGTCATCAAATACTTTTATTTGAAGGGGTTAACGNTAGCACGGAGGTTTAACATCTATAAAATTTAGTTCAATATGAAAACGTAAAATGGCTAAAAAATAGATACATTCTCTATAATGAAACTCAACTTTCCGAACATTTTCATTCGTTATAGAAAGTTCTCATTGTTATCAACACCATGTATATTTAGGTATGTGGTACAGGAGATTAGCCACCTGGCATTAAATGAATTGGATTTGCCATCGAAATGTGAATACGTAGTTAATTGTGGGATTTTTCAGGTAGGCTTGTTCACACTATTGAATTTTCTGCTGGCTTATAACATATTGTGTATGAGTTGGTACAATAACAAAAGTAATGAAACAGGCGGATAATTTGCTGCACACAGTAAATTTTAAAAAGGCATAATGTATTGATTTCAGTAGTTAATTTATATTAATTTTATAATTATTCCGTCTCTACATACAAACATTACATAGTTTGTTTACGAAAGAAGTTAATAATTACTTTGCAAAATTAGAAAATTGCACAAAATGCAAAAGTGTAATTAATCAGAGAAATAAACAATGTTAATGCATTATGCAAGCTTCGATATATAAATAATAAATATTAATACAATATCTTACTTTTTATTTTTAAAAAAATTATGTATTATTGTTGCTACATCTTATCAAATTAAATAAATTTGTTCAATTCTTATACTCTTCTCTTTGAGACGAGATGCTTTCTGTGATTAAAATAAATTTTGTATGTTCTTTGATTCGTTCTTGAAATGACCTACCTGTTTGATTTTCACTTTTTACGCTCTGAATTTACAAAAACCCTACGTTTCAAAATCACTTTCTCGAAGCACAATATATACCTACTAATGTTCTAAGTGAATTGGTTTTCATGTGGCAATATTCGTTTTTATTGTCTTAAAGTTGCTAAACTTGTTTCTTAACAAAAATTGCACGAATAGTAGAGCTGAGTATTTACCAATTTTTATCAGCGCTTTGATCTGAAAGGATAATTAAAATCGGGCACTATTCTGGGTGCGGATAGTTATCTTAGCTTCTGTTTGTAGCATTGTTTCCATAGCGGCATTCAAATGGAGGCCAATTAAACAATCGTAATTCGTAACAGTGAGTAGTAGTAGGTCAATCGTATGTAGGCTGGATAAGTAGTTGAATCATGAAAGAAAGGACTGCCTACTACACAATCTCTTGTAAATATGCATCTATCTATCCACCACGCGTAAAGTTGCGTTGTTTTTATTGTTGTTGTTGTCGTCGGTTAGATAATAACAAAAGCGAGTGAGTGAAATTTCCAAACTTCCTGTCGCTCTCGGTCCGTTACATTCACACAACACTCAAGTCAGTCGATACCCACCGTTTACTCGTGTTCGTACGTTACCTTCAGTCGTAACAAATCGCCTTTAATTTGTTACATTATTAACTATGTAACTATACAATATTTGTTCAGATAACGTCATTTACCTGCTTGATAAACATGTGGTTGAGATCACAAGTTAATCAGTTTGTTTAAGCTCCAAGCGAGAGAGCTCTGTCCGTGGTGCGATTCTTTGCGAATATTTGAAATTTCTTCGTTCGTCATGAATCCAGTGGTGATTGACGCGGGTTCTTGCATATGCAAAGTGGGTTTTGCCGGCGAGGAAATTCCTAACGCGGTCATTCCTTCCTTAATTGGACATTTGCCAAACGATTCGAAAAGGCTAATAGGCAAAGAAGCTTTCGATAATCGCGAAGATTGCGAAATTTCGTATCCCATAAGGGGAACTAAAATAACAAACTGGGACCATTTTGAATCTCTCCTGGATCATTGTTACAAACAGGTTTCGGCTGACCCAAAAGAACAATCGCTTCTATTAACTGAACCCCACTGTAATCCAAAGAAGAATCAGGAGAAGACAACGGAAATTTTGTTCGAAAAGTTTGGAATTCCTGCGCTTCACATTGCCAGTCAAACGGTGTTATCCTTGTACGCCGCGAACAGGACCACAGGGATAGTCCTTGACATCGGGGATCACACTTGCAGCATAGTTCCAATATACCATGGATACGTCGATCAAGCAGCCGTGCAGTGTCTGGATTACTCTGGAAAAGATTTGACGGACTTCCTGCAGATGTTGTTGTTGCAAGGGAAGTCTGTGCCAGTAAGAAGCGATTGGGAAGACCTCCGGGAGTTGAAAGAAAACTTCTGTTACGTGGCAATTGATTTTGAGAAGGAAGAAAATGGACCAAGGGACGTTAGGAAGTTGGAGCTTCCTGGTGGTAGATCGGTGAATGTTTCGAGTGAAGATTATACATGTCCTGAAGCTCTTTTCAAACCTTCACTGATAGGTCTTGAAAGTGAAGGAATTCACAAAGCACTTCGCACCTCCGTCATGAAATGCGATTATGATTTAAGGAAGGAGCTTTACGGTAATATTGTATTATCGGGTGGCACCACAAAAATGAAGGGGTTTGTGGACAGACTGGAACGTGAAATTGTGCAGTTAGTGCCTCCCCAAGTTCAGATAAAACTGATCAAACAGGCCGATCGGCATCACGCGTCATGGATTGGTGGAAGCGTCCTGGCTTCTTTGATAAGTTTTAAGGATTACTGTATAACAAAACAACAATTCGAGGAACAAGGGACCGGTATAATTTATAAGAATGTTTTTTTGTAACGGGATATATTTTTTCTTTTGGGGGCTGGATATATGTATAATTTTTTAGAATGTTTTGGATTTGCAATATGGAGCAAAGGAGAAGGACCCGGAAGATCCTAGTAGAAAATAGAACCGTAGTTAATATACATTGGTAAAACCCTAATATTTATATTTATTTTGATAAATTTGTCACCGTTTTGAACCTCTTAAGGGTCCTCCTGCTTTACCAAAAATACAATGAAGTATCTATTTGAAATACGCTGTGATATGAGGGTGGAATTGTTATAACTAAGTCATAATATTTTTTATGTATTACTTACTTTCGATTTGTATTTATAAATAGCTTCATTTCTACGTAGCATGCGATAAGATTTTTATCAAAAATTTCAGATTGCAGCAACGTAAAAATATTTAAAATAGAGTAGTAAATTGTTGCTAGTTCCTTAAAATATAAAAAATATTTTGCTATTTATTTACACATCTAATGACCTTGGGTTTCACTTAAAAGCAATGCTACATCAAAATCTTACGTTAAAAAAGACATTGTTTTTGCACAAGGTAAAAATAGAACATTTCGTTGTGAAACAATCAAACACCAACGTTTCAGTGGATAATTACCACTAAAATTACACTTTTAGTTAATTTTAGTTAGTCATTAGGTACTTACTCCATAAGAGTATGTACCTGCATATATAGGAATATCTACTTTTTGTTTCATTTTTAGAATTAATCGTTACTTCTATGGTTCTACGGCATGTTATCAAAGAAATTGTTAATTTAATCCGAAATATTATTTTTATGTTAATTATATTTATGCGCTTTTGTTCTTGATTGGAGAAAGTTTGCAATATAAAATTTTGAGAAAGTATTGAAATTATTTTCAAAAAAGTAATTAGGTAGCTACTAGGTAATTGTAATTATACCTAATAATAATATTTAATTTATTTATGGTTACTGACGAATGGAAATAAGTCTTTATTATACCATAAGAAGATTCGTTATGTGCTTTACAATGTTAATTCCAATATTATAAGTACATGTAAGTGTTTTTTGTCATTCCTTTCACTTTTATACTATATTAATCGTATGCTTATGATAGGCATTTGTAGGTACATATTGTTAACTATTTAGAATTCTTAAACGCGTTTTATTGCTTGCTGCTACTGAAATTTTTAGACGTATTAGATCATTCTTTACCAGAAGTAATGAGAGGATATCTATAAGTGAAATTTATGATTACATGTAATCTCACGATCATTGAGTATAACTGATAACTTTTTAGTATTTTTATTAGTCATGGTCGTGAATGTTATGGGTGTGTCAGAAGTCGGCATTCTAATTATTAGCAAATAATTAGCAACAAATCGATTGCTTATATTATTATGAAACTTGGAAACAAATAAGAGGCTATTATTTTTATATTGCATGATTTTGTTAAATATTTTTATTGGATAATTCAAAAAATAAATTGTAATAAATGAAGGCAAAAACAAACATAAAACACATTATATAAATAACGAAAAGCTTTTATTGATAAGAGACGATTACAACTTCAAAATGTGGCATTTAACAATTGGAAAGATATAGGTTGTGGAGTGTATTCCCGACATATATTTTGGAATAAAAAATTAGTCGTACAGCTCTATTATAAATGCGTAAAAACTTTAAAATTTGCGAGCCTTACAGATATTTGAAGTTTTTCTAAAGCATCGAATGGTAATGTAAAGAAATTTGTGATACAATCATTTCCTAATTTTAACGTGTAGTATAGGTACCATGTTTCTTTTTTTAATTACCAATAATGATTCCCTTCACCTGATACACGGGGTTGGACTGATATAGTACATATATACGAAGCCTTAAGTATTATAAATATAAGTACAACTGCAGGTTACAGTTTCTCTCTTCTGTATTCTTGTCTGCCTTTGCTCAGTTTCTTCCCTTTTTCTCTGGTTCTGGATAGAAAATAAAGACTGATTCCCCATCTTTCAAAACTTGACTGTTACTTGCACTGAGTACGTATTACTGTTATACGTAAATGGCGTTAACTGAGGATTTTTTAAATGAAAACTGATAAGTTTTTATCTAACTGCATTTGTTTAGCCTGCATGTATAATCAATAGCAGACGTCAATGTAAATTTCTCTGACATACACAGTACCGTATGGAGGTAGATGGTATAGACATCGTAACATTTTTCGAATTCTCATTATACCAGAAATCAGAAACATATGAATCTGTACATATAATACGTGTGGTGTATGTTAGTTGTATTTCGTCACGTTTATGTTTATGGCATGAACACTGCAATGTTGTGAATATACTTTTCTCATAAATAACTTTCGGATTGTGAACGGAATTTTAGACTATGATATGCTTTCAAGAATTCTCGGTTTGGTGAACACAATCAATGCATCTACGCAATGTAGAGAAAGCTAATGTTTATTTGAGACGCATTTGAAATATTATAGGAATTTCAACTGTTATGTAATAGATTTAAAGGTAGCTAGCCATAGACTTAGTTACGTTTTATATTTCCAAATATTTTCGCATTTTAAATACGAGATTAACTTTTATAGTAGTGCTTTATAATCAGATATAATAAACATGCAAATTATGAAGCTATTCCATATGTAATTTAAATACTTGTTACATAAATGTAAAGGTAGGTATTTTCTAAATTGTTTTTGAGCTAAAATTTTTAGTTTTATTGCTGTAAAATTATTCTATTGTTTATTGAAATAACTGCTTTCATGCACCAGAGTTCAATCTACTCGAATTATTAATTCATGATTTTGACATACTTATAAGAACATTGTGACAGAATTGCCTAAAGATTGATTAGGGATACATCAGGCTTCCTGATCCGGATATGATTAAAAACGGTCACCCCATATATGATCCGCATAGGATCCGTTTGAAAGACCCACGCTGGATTCTTTTAAAATTTCCAAACTGGTTCCATTTCGATCCATTTCAAAGATCCATACTCGATCCATTCAACAGATCCATATCGGATACGTTCAGAGTATCTTTTACTTTTCCGTATTAATTTGACATTAAATAATTAAATTAATATTACGATCTTACCTTAATTTTACGAATGATTTTAAGTACACTTTAAATATATATATTTTCAAACTGTAAGTTTAATAATAATTTGTTATTTCTTTATTCCAAGTTTTTGCATTATTTGTGATACTGGAACGGAATCATAAAATTCTTTATCTTTGAACCTTATTCCATGGTCTTAGTATTAGAGTCTCAAAAGGGGACTGGATCAAGAGATGGAGTATTGTACTGATCTGGATCTGACCGGGTTCCCTGAACTAATTTCCCGTTGGTAACTGGAACTGGAACGCTCAATCTTGATCTAACTGACATACTTATAAGTTATATGGCATTGCAGTTTGCATTTAATCTTTTTAAAATAGAAAATAGGAATGTGTTTAAAAGTTATCCAAAGCCTCTATAAAACAAAACATGAGAACGATTGGACCTAAAAGTACTTTGGCATATTCCCTCCTCCTTCCTCTGATATTTTAAAACAAGCATCTTAAATTCAGAAAATGTTTAGGATATGCAGTATTTTTATTTTTACCTGTAAATAATAATACCTATCTAAAGCTTGATTATTAATGATAAGAAATGCATTTTCAGGAAAAAATAAGCTTATTTATCTCTTGATTGGTTACGTACAGAGGGCCCCAAAAGGTTCACATCGTTGTCTGTAAATTCTTATAGCTTATAGCAACTAATTAGATGACGTAATACGTAAAATCATCTCTGAAATTTGTTGAACAACACGCTGGTTCAATTTCTATTAACTTTATTCTTTATTAGTTGATTGTTTAATATGTTTACATAATTACTATGGCATAATTTATTCAGACAATTTTTGTTTGAAGCAAATTATTTATATCCGAACAAAATTCGAGAGAGAAAAAATTCTGAATATATTTTTTAATTAAATAAAAGTGCAAATTCTATTCATTGTTAAATTCGTATTATAGGGCAAGGTCATTTCTGTTTTCTTAATGATTCCTGTCATACAATTTATTGTAATTTGTTGTTCATTCAAGGGAAAATTAATAACATGATCTAGGTATATGGAATGTTTAAAACTAACAGCATTAATTTAATAAATACTACTCTTAATTCGTTTTTTAATTTTTATTAGTAATCCTTTTGAAATACAACTTTTATTGCAATGTTTTGTGATTTCTGTTATTTAAATTAAACAATGTCGTTTTGTGTTAAAGTAAAGTATATTTTAAAGCAGTTTTTCCGGCATTTCCAGATCCTGGGAAAACTTTGTATTATACATTTCATACGTCTACCGAGTAATGTGGGTTGCCGGAAAATTTCTTTACTTTAACCTTATTTATCGTGGTATACGGAAAGAAATAACATAAATAACGTGGAAAATTATTGTTAATTTCTTCTGTAATGTAGTTTCTTTTGATTAATATTATTTTTCGTGGTGATCTCTTCAAGTAAACGTAAGAAGATGAGAAGTAATTGGGATTTTTAATAGTTTCTAGTAAAGAAGATTTTCTCTAAGGTAAGTGTCTGCTGATGAGACAGCTTTTGTAAAGAGGAGTATTAAAAGAATAATAATAAAAGAGAATTTTTCTAAAGATGTGAAATAAGATGCACAGTATCTTTATATTATATAATTGCTATGCGCAGTAAAGCAGAATCAATAGTGCTGCGCTGTCGCAATTTCCTCCAATGGCGTAGTAATTTTGCAATAATTAAGGATATAAAATATTAACAATGGTCAATAGAATCATATTCCTTTTAGTAGTCAATTGATTATCTTGTGAGTGTTTTACAGTTTCTTACAAAAGGTGATATTTTATCAAAAATTTATGAAAAGGGAAAGCCTTAAATATATAATAATATAATAAGTATATAATAAGTATATTAAATATAGTTGTTTATGAATAAAAGAGATCACTTTTATTTGCAAAATATATTTATATGGACTTTAATAAACACTTCTTTTTTATATTG